AGTCTTTGATATTAATATCAATATTTATAGTGAATGTAATAAAAATACTTTCTATTTATTTAATTAATAAAAATAAAACAAACAAAAACTAAATGTAAACTATATCTCAAAACACCTACAAAACTATATTCATTAAAACGAGTCAAATCGACATTGAAATAATAAACTGTTTAAATTTACATTAAATCTCTATTCACTCAATCATTTTGAATACATTAATCCAAATAAGGACTGATTTAACTATAAATGATATTATTAATCAATAAATTAATAAATTGACAAAACGTTTAAATGTATTCAAATTCAAATTAAAAACTACAAGATTTGGCAATCATTTGGCGAATGCTTTTATTAAATCGTTATCGTTATGAATATACAACTTAAATATTCTGTTAATCATAACAATGTAAATAATATTATCAGCGATTACTGTTAATATTCGCTTATTCATCGACTATATTAATAATTCAATATATTTATAGACAAAATCACTACAATTATAAATACAATATTTTATGTCAAAATATCATACCTTATTGTCGACCAAATTAGTGCTTAAAATTTCCATTAATTATATAATAAAATAGAAACACTAAATGACGGCTAAATGTGGGAAACAAGTGCCAAAAGATTACAATGAATTACTGGCAATGGATTGCAATGTATTGACAGTCAGTGATGATAAGGATCGGGATAATTGATAATTGATATGAAAGGCACTATTGATATGATTAAACATTGGGTTCGACAAGAGTACGAACGCCACGCTAAACATGATATGCAGCCACTGCTGGCATCAGGTTATGCATCCATTCAATGATTGCATTATACAGACACTCACTTCAGACAACACTTTAATTCTTTGGCAAGAATTTTATAAATATTTGCAAACTTTTGCAAAACTGGTATAAAATGTAATGTAAAACAACACAAACCACTTCGCTATCCCTTTAAAGTTAACACATATGCCTCGGGCTAACCCAACACCACTGCTATTTTATTAAACTATCATTTCATACATACATTACACAGATATACACTATATTTCATGTATTGTGTATGAAATGCTATTTTTTATAATCAAAACATAACTTTCAAAAATATATTTAAATAAATAACTCATATATTTTCCATTTCTCTACTTTCTGTACAACTGATTACGAAATTAAAATAAAATTTTAATTAATATTTAATAACTTTTTTCTGGTGATTGAATTAAAGGCACGGATGGAGTGAATGGACTCTAATGTGAGAAAAATTGATTTAACGGATGATAAAAGTGTGAGAAGACTGAGTACTAGTGCTGTGGACTCGACTTGACGTCAAATTTGAGACTTTTGTGGTAAGTATGGGGTCGTTGTGTCCATCAAGACATCACCTCATCCTTCAATTTATGCCCACATTTATGACTACAGTATAGTATCNATACTCGTAATACTCGTACACTTTGTATGCATTGCCAATGCATTGCTTTTCCGTCCCATAGAAACCAATTGTTTATTTGGTTAGTGACGGCACAAACAGTTATGTTAATTATCAACACATCTAACACTCAGACTATAATTTGTTTTAATTGCAAGAAATAACTCACTATTAGTCTCTCAATAATACCAAACACTAATATTCGCGTCAATTATTAAGTCATTCAGTCATTCACTCATACATTGAGACATCAATTAATTTCAATTATATTTCCTTATGGTTAACGACTTTTCTCTTTCAAATCAAATCATTAATTTAATTGCAATGAAAATGACAGCCAATCCTTGTATATCACACTTTATATGCCATTGTATTTGTAATATTCGTCTCTCCTATAACTTTATGTCCACTTTATTTGAGGACAATTTTGTGTATTATATTTAGCACAATATACGCCAAAGTTATGACTACCGGTTATTTCAAATATTTAAAAGTTTTCCCATTGTTTTACTATTTATTTAGGTTTCAATATTGAAACAACAGACAAAACACATTAAATAGAGTACAATGTGTTGACCCAAAGTGTTTTATAGAGATAATAGTTGTGTAACAAACGCCAACTTTTCACTCATTCCTCTCCATTCTGTATAACGCGTACCAAAAAATGGTTAACAAAATTATTATTCAGAGCACAACTCCAGTGATAACTACATCACCACTTGTTTATCACAAGTTATAAGAATTGATAATTAATATTAGACTATATTTTGGTCACACTTTAAGTGACATAACATTTATTCAGTGAATAAATCGCAAACAATTGAATGTGACGTCAAAAATAAATGTCGAACTTTTTATTTGTAAAATATTAATACATATAAAATCATTAATTTAATTGCAATGAAAATGACAGCCAATCCTTGTATATCACACTTTATATGCCATTGTATTTGTAATATTCGTCTCTCCTATAACTTTATGTCCACTTTATTTGAGGACAATTTTGTGGTATTATATTTAGCACAATATACGCCAAAGTTATGACTACCGGTTATTTCAAATATTTAAAAGTTTTCCCATTGTTTTACTGTGTATTTAGGTTTCAATAGTGAAACAACAGACAAAACACATTAACGGTAAATAGAGTACAATGTGTTGACCCAAAGTGTTTTATAGCGATAATAGTTGTGTAACAAACGCCAACTTTTCACTCATTCCTCTCCATTCTGTATATCGCTTACCAAAAAATGTTTAACAAAATTATTATTCAGAGCACAACTCCAGTGATAACTTCATCACCACTTGTTTATCACAAGTTATAAGAATTGATAATTATTATTAGACTATATTTTGGTCACACTTTAAGTGACATAACATTTATTCAGTGAATAAATCGCAAACAATTGAATGTGACGTCAAAAATAAATGTCGAACTTTTTATTTGTAAAATATTAATACATATAATCGTTAAATAATAAAAATTTAATTAAAAAATCTATGAATTCGTTTATAACATGATCTAATAGTAAGTGTTTCAAAAAGCCATAACTTATTTGTAAAGGAATGCAAAAACAGATAAAGAGTTTCAACAATTTTGATGAATGAAATGAAATACTTGTATAATATATTTGAGAATTTCATACAAAACGGGGTCTTTCGGACTCCAAATCTCTTTTAATCGTACTTTCGGTTAAATCGGTAGTCCTTTGAGTCAAATGGAACTCTTCGATAGCTGTGGTCGCGATTGCGATGTCAGGGATCAGATCACTGAGAGTACGGCGCGATTCGTTGCTCGAGAACTATACCATTAAGACAAACACATCGTTAGAGACCATCACATCATATAAAATGCAATTATACTTTACCTGAGAGTCTAAGTCAAAGTGAGCCAAACGGGGAACAGAACTCTCGAGTTTGAGTTCACTAAAAGTACTGTAAAGATCCCTGTCTTCGGGCAATGTTGTCATATTTGGCATATGATTGGTAAGGGGTCGGGGAGGGGGAGGAATGCTGAGCGAACCGACTTCACTCGCAGCGTACGAGAGCCGGGAGACGCCATCGTCCGGTGCGTCCAATGCTCGCGAATAGTTATGTCCGTGCAGTACATCGGAAGCGGCGTCCGGGAGACCGAATTCCCGGCAAACTCGAAGCTGTATAAGTCTTAGTGCTTCGCATCGATTCGAAACCAATGCCAGTGCTCTTTGGCTGAGGGCTAATGATTTGAGCTCTTGTTCTCTTTGTTTCATTAATACGACAACTCTGTCCTCAAGAATGGGTAGCTGTGGTCTGGAGTTGGCGTCGTGTATGTCCTCATAACACACCGCCGATGACGAAGAGGACGAGGATATGCACAGATGGTAGTGATCGGAGCCGAGAAAGCCGTCGTTCACAGCACTCAATGCCGAGGCCTTATCCAACATATAGAGCGCGTCGGGAATGTGAGATATCTGTCGCGAGACTCGGCTCGGAATGGGCTCTCCCTGTCGACCGATCCTCTCGTCGAGCACTGCTTTGGCCTCTTCGACATACGGCGCGAAATAACGCGGTCTAACGAAAGGACCCGTTCCTCGACCCCTAAACCACGACGATATTCCTCGAGATTGCGGCAGAACTGCGTCTTCGCCCAACATATATGGCGGAAGAGTACTAATTAGGCCTCTTTTGGCGGCGTTGGACAGTATGTCGCTATCGAGTGGCAATATATGACCCACTCTTACGTGACAAATCAGTTCTGAGAGAATATCTCTGAGTTCGGTGTCATTTAATTCCTTCTTCCGAATACCTCTTCGCAAACTGTGGGCAGTGTTTGAGACAACATTGGGTTCCCTTTCCTCCATTCGCTTCATTAGTCGGGTTTCACTCCATTTGATGACCGCTTGCAAGACCTCGAGTTCGCTGGCGTTCAAGAAGTCTGATTTCAACGCTTCGGTTAAATGCGATAATTCTAACTGACATAACACTGTCGAGGAAGCGATCGCTGAGAACTCTTCTCTCATAAAGCAGAGCGTCTGTCGCTTAACCCACGGCGACCCGTGAGGCTGTTCTGACCATTTCATTATCATTATAAACGTTTCCAATGATAACGAGTCAATAAGTAGATCCTCACAACTTTGGACAAGAAAATCCAACTCAAGAAAGCGCGCGATTTCGTACAAATCCATCACTTCTTTCACCAAAATTAATGTCGAAATTGAATTCGGGTTACAATTCGTGTGGTTATTAGTATTGCTTCCGTTGTTTGAGTTACCATTAGATAGGTTTGCGTTCACTTCAGTATTACACTTACAAACGCATAGTTGCAACAAATGGTGTAATTCTGCGGAATCCCTGTACATCACATGCAATAACACTCTGGCATACCGTCGAGGAATAATCGTTTCGTCTAATAATATCTTTGTTCGTTGGTTTGGATTGTGAACGCCGTTTGATTCACTGGTTTCTGCTTTGCGGCGCTCCTGGCGTTGGATAACTGACCTGAAGAACGGCGAACGCGCGGCCAGTATTGCCCGATGGCATGAGTACTCGTTTTGGTCACTACAGGCGCGACACTTCTTCGTCGGCTGAGAGAAGTCTCTGCTTTGTGTCGGAGAGAAGAGAAGCGAAGCGTCGCTATAGAGACCGGTTTCCAAGAGGTGTTTGAGGTCGTGAGCCAATGGGTTGGGAACTCCGCACTGTTCACTGATTCGCAGCAATACATCGTAATTGTTTCGCGGATCATAAGAACCGGACAACTCTCCCGAATACAAGTATCGCAACAAGTCGTGGAACAGCTCTACTCTCAGGCCAGGAATGTCCAGATTTACGGTCACACAACTGCCCGAAGCCTTTTTGCCCAATAGTTCCCGAAATGCGGGACAACGGACGCAAACGATGGCCTTATGGACCGGGAAGTGGACGCCTTTGTAAACGAGAGTCACGTCCGAACAGTACTTGAAGTCAAACAACTCGCAGAAGTCGTTCTGAGCGGTGGAGGCCAGGGGTCGGGCGCTCTCAGCCAATAGAGACAATTCTTTGAGAAGACCCGAACACTCGTACTCTTCGCACAATTGTTTCACATCTCTTGTGGTCCACGAAGAGATAAAATCCCTCAACGCCTGCAAGTGATCAAACGTACGGCTCGTCCGTCGCTTCCGCGCCAGTCGTTTGCGAAGAGTGGCCAAAGACGACAAGTTCTTCCGCTTCTTCTCTTTTGTCGGCACTATATTAGTGAGAGAGCCGTCGGTTGTCGTCCCGTGACTGCCGTTCCCGCTGTCTGTCAGCGAAGTCCACGAATTGACCGTCTCTTGCGATGTGGAGCTCATCGACGGCGTGGCCGACGATATCGAGCCCACAGATGAGGCCATTTGTGCGGAACTGTTGGCACCCATTCTTTGCCACCAATTCTTTAATTAGTCTTTCAATTGATTGGATGTTAACTCAAATTCATAGCAATTATGTGTCCATAATATCAACGGACGACTCATTTGCTGTCAATTGCTATTTAAATCCATTTGTCTCACAAATAATGGACTCTTTGGGGGCGAGTGTTGAGTGCATGTGTTATGAATCACGTGATGATAATATGAGTGTTAAAGTGGATCCAAAATGGGATCAATTGGCCATCACTTCAATGCATTCAACCTTTGGCTCAAAGCAGACATTTTGGCAAAACTAGTAATTACTCTCTCATTACTGCTTCACTGCAACACTACTCCACAGCTCAAACACTCACCACATCTATGCCCGCCATTACAGTACACACACGCGTCGACGCCATCAATGCACCAATCATTCAATGTGTTTAACAATATTCAACGTTAAAACACTCGCCTCCACCCCCTCTCACACGCAGATGAATGTTGGCATTGATGTGATCACTCGAATGGCCACTATTTGTTTGTATTGTTAACAAAACAATGTTTGCATTAAAAATAACATAAATTACATCAAAAAATATGTCATAAAAGTTTGAATGAGTTTTTATTTGAATGAAAATAATTGTTTCATAATTAATATATTCAAAATAGATTTGCCGCTAAATTAAATGATCATTAATTAATCGGATTCGTCGTCGGAATCGCTTTGTTTGTCCCAATCCTTCATCTTTGCGCCGATCATGAAGTCATCCCTCAATACTTTCCACTTCTGTTCATCAGATTCTCGTTTTTCCGATTCATTTGTCTTAATATTCAACATAAAAATGATTAAAATCTATAATAAAAATACATTAAATAAATGGTTACTTTAGTTGAAGTGTCCTTTCGTTTGAGTTTATCGAGGAATTGATTTTTATTGAATTGAGTCATCATTTTGTCTCTTTTGGTCTCTGAAGAGCCGACTTCAGTGAGTTTCGTTTCAATGGTCTTCTGCTGTTCCCGAACGGCATTAAACAGTTGGACAACACCTTTGGTGGCGACCGAACACAACATCCGTTCCCTATCCCTGTCTTCGGCTTTGGGTTTCATTTTGTTCAACACTTCCCACTCGTATTTACTGAGCTTTAATTTACTGCTACTCTCTTTGCTATTGCTTTCATCGCTTTTACTCTTCTTATTCTTCGTCGACGACTTGACAACAGATCCGTCTTCGTTGACAATCTCTAAGTCATCGTTTGGTTCATCGGTTTTCCGTTTGATTTCTTTATCTTTTTTAGCTTTCGATAAAATGAATGATTTGTTTTTGGTTTTGACGGAAAGGACTCGACTGAATCGACTCACCAATTTTCGAGAACTTTCCAGATATAGTTTTTGAGATATCACCTCTCAAAGTCGAAACCCATTCATTCATAGCGCGCGCCCTCTCTGAACACCTAACCTCAACACAAGAACCGTCACACATTAATTATTTTTTTAACTATAATACAGTATTATTAATACTATTTCAAAATAATAGTCCAGTAATAACATAAATGTGTTTTTAAAAATGTTACAAATAAAACATGGTCCAAGGGCGTCTCGAACCTAGGCAATTCAAGTAAGTAGCCGGACACTCTAACCACTCGGCCACAGAGCTATATGTAAACAGACTACCTTATTTTAATACCCATGAGAAACATTAAATATATGACCCCCTCTCATGCCTCCCAAAGTGAATGTCATCTCTAAAAAAGTACATAGATGTGTTTTATTTGCCCTAAACTCTCGGAATAACGCAATTAAATTAAAATCGGGGCCGGGCAGTCAGCGAATCCCAATTGTAAGATATTTTTATTTTTATTAAAATAATTAACTAGTATTTTTACGTTTTGAGCAATTGTAGTCTTTTATGTTTATATTGCGGACAATTTTCCCATTTTGTGCATTTGTTTATTGGGTGACCAAATAGTGCAGGGTAATATTTATTATCACCTAACGCCAGTTTTAAATCTAGATTATTTAACTTTTCCCGCCAAAGCTGTCCACCATCGCTCATGTATATAGATTGGCGGCTTTCAACCTTGTTGAAAATTGTATCCTATGTTTGGTAATAAGTATGATTAGGATAAAAGACATATAACTTTAATTATAAATACTTTAATTACTCATACCTTGAGAGATAATTTGTATTCTTCGTAAGAATTATGATGATAACTACTATCTACAAATTGTACTCGGTCTTTTTGGTAGAGATTGTACAATGTTGGATCAATTGGAATTTTCCAAGTAAATTTTTTGTTATAAACATGCCATAACCATGATCCATTTGTAATTATTATTGATTGGTTTGAACTAACAAGCTCATCTAATGATTTTATATATTGCCACTCCCGGGTCACTATTGATGATAATATAAACGCACAGAAATGGTATGACAACAATAATATCATATATGCCCATAGGTTTATCATTAGGTTTGGTCGCGTGTATTCATTATTTAGCGTTTGGTTAAATATATGCCTTACGGTATCATAAAATATTCTTACAGGGCTAATATTTTTCAAATAATCTAGAATCAAATAAAGTCAAGGCATGTGTTAATTTATTATATATAAAATTATGAGTAATCTTACCATGCAATTTAACCAATAAATATTGATATGCGGTAATTAGCAAAACACAAAGTAATATTAAAAGCCAAATTAACCAAGAATACGTGTTGATCATGGTAAATATATTGGGCTTATCTAAATATTTACCACTCATAATAACCATATTGTATTCATCAACTACCCATTGTGCTTCCGTGTGTTCCATCACATATTCATCAATTGTCATCATGGTTAATCCCAAATCAATTTCCTAGTGATAAAATATACTATCATTATATAAATAATATTTATCATGTATTAATAACCACCTTGTTTTCACGCATCATTTTTATACTATTAATCCAGTAATTTGGGAACACGCGTAAAGTAACATTATATTTGCCATTTGAGATTGCCCTGATGATTTGTTGATCAATATTGCATAGCTTGTGCGGTGTAATAATTAATACCGATTGGTTACTAATTTGGTTACCTAAATATGTATCACCATTTTTGTAAGTCTGACATCTTTCTAAATCAAACCAACCCATTATTATATTGTTAATACAGTATTATGACAATTATTTATAATAGTGGTTGAAATTCTACATAAACTAATTATTAAAAGTACAAATTACTTATATACAATAAGATATGGTAATTAATATTAATAGACACAAAAATTTGTATTATTCTCATTAGTAGAATATAAATAATGTATTTAATAACAATTGTGTTGTAATCAATACTGTATTAATACCAGAATCAATAATTTAATAATTATTTTAATTAGATAACATTATATTATACGTATGTTGCATGTTTATTAAATTAGAATCCATTATTTAATTTTATCAATAATAATAAATAAATTGTTTCATTGTTATAACAGTTTACTAAAATAGTTATAATGAAATAAATTACAGTATATAGTGCACATATTAAGCATAATTATGTTAATAATTTAATTAATAAATACATAAAGGTTAAGGTGTCGCAGTCGGTGGCCGTGATTAACGACGAGTGTATGTAAACACTGGTTAAACTTATTTGTTTAATTGTAATAACCTTTAACTCATATTGATTGGACAATATTTAATGCAAATTCAAATATTTAATGATAATTTAATTTATTTGCTATTATTTTTGTTTTATCTTATATAATTTTATATATTTAGATAATATAAACATAACTAATCGTAGTGTCTTCAAAAAGTGATAAATATTAATATTTTTATAATTGATTTCCATAAACTCTAACCTATTAATAAGTGATAAATTAATTTTGTGATAAAGATTGCCCGTATATGGTTTAAATTGTATCCACAGTTAATAAAATAAATGTTTTAAGCAAAATTATCATATTCATATATTTAATAAACTAAAAATGAATTATATTTTAACAATCATTAATTTATATTTTATAATGTAATTTATTATCTCTAATTGTAATTTATAATTTATCATATTTTAATAACAATTAATTTAATAATGGACCAAACATACAAGTCTAAATGTTTCTAGGTTGTCATAACAAAATATTGATTAGGTTAAACTACAAAAAGACAACCATTTTATTTAAAATACAATATTTTATTGTGATTAAAATAAAATAACAATGGTTTCGAATTTAAAAATTTATTTTAAAATACACTAATTTCATTATATATTTTTACAATTATCACAAGGTAAGTTATAATAATTATTATTATTTATATGAGCTTTTTATAAGTTAAATAAAATTAAAATAAAAAATTAATAAACTCTTATTATTATTATTATATATTATTATAATCATAATTATTTCAATATTGTAATTTGAAAGACATGGATATATCAGTAAATTCATTTGATGGCCTAACATTACAACCAGGTAGATTTGATACAGATTTTATAGATGAAACCGGGCCTATAAGTGGACGATTTTTATATACTGTAACAAAAGCCCGGCACAGGTTTGAC